AATGAAAATCTATAAAGACTTCTCCTCCAATTTGTTCATAAGGTTTCTCCCCCTGAGGAGAAGAATCGAGCACTCCCCCTGAAAAAAAAGGCTTCCATTCATGAAAAGTAACATCCAAAGTGACATGTAGTTTATGGAGAACAGGATCAAAACATCGGTATCCTTTTTGGGAATCCGAATATCCAACAAAGACACATTTAGTAGCACATGGGTCCAACTTGTGACGTAATGGTTTTGGAGTATGGACATAGGCACAACATCCAAAGATTCGTGGTTCCAAATTTGAAACATGCGGGATAGAAAAATAGGATTCAAGTGTTTGTTGAGGGGTTTTGAAACCAAGGACATTAGAAGGTGTTCTATTGATGAGATAGGCAGCAGAGAGGACTGCCTCTCCCCAAAAACGTTTGGGAACATGCATTCCGAAGAGGGAAGCTCGAACAACTTCTAATAAGTGCCTATTTTTCCTTTCAGCTAGACCATTCTGTTGTGGGGTATACGTACAGGATGTTTGATGTTTGATTCCTTTATCATCCAAAAAAGAGGTAAAGGTATGGTTGGTATATTCTGTCCCGTTATCTGTTTGTAGAATCTGAATGTGAGAGTTATACTGAGTGAGGACTAAAGAGTGGAAGCGTTTAAAAGCATTAAAAACTTCACTTTTGGTTTTCAGAATACACACCCAAGTCATACGAGTACACTCATCAATAAACGTTACAAAATACCGTGCAAGAGATAAAGACGGTTCCCGAGAGGGACCCCAAACATCAGAATGAATCACTTGAAAAGGAACACTGCTTTTATTTATACTGGGAAGATAGGAGACACGATGGCTTTTGGCCAATTCACATGTGTTACATTTAAATTAGCCTTATTCAAATGGGAAAACATTTGGGGAAATAACTTTTCTAAATATTTAAAAGATGGATGTCCTAATCTATGATGCCACAACCAAACAGAGGAAGAAGCTTTATTAGCAGCAGTAGTAGTGAAAGACTTGACAGCGGAGACACAAACATGATTTAAATCCAGAAAATAAAGCTTTCCACGTCTAACACCATAACCAATTGTCATCCAAGTTGAGATGTCCTGAAACAAGCAAAAATCAGGGCAAAAAACAACAGTACAGTTCAAGGATGCAGTAATTCGCGAAACAGATAAGAGGTTAAATTCTAAGGAGGGAACCACCAATACAGAATCCAGGAATAAATGGGGGGATAAGGAGATGGATCCTTGGCCAGTGATGGGAGAAGTCTCCCCATTTGCTGTGGAGATACAAGGCAAAATGCAAGGTTCACAATTATGTAAATCAGAAGAATCTCTAATCATATGATCTGACGCACCAGTGTCAATTACCCAAGTATGATTTCTAGTAAATGTAGATAAAGCAAGAGTGTTACCAATATGTCCCTGATGTGCAATGTGAGCAGCGGGTGAGGCAGGGATTACAACCGAAGCAGCAGCAGCATCAGGTGTGGTGGTAGGAGCAGGAGCTTTCCGGCGCGGTTGCTTACTGAAATCCCACCAATCGGGATAACCAATGATCTCAAAACATCTTTGCTTGGAGTGACCACTAGCCCCACAGTGAGTGCAATAAAATTGAGGCATTTTTCCAGAGGAAGAGGAGGAGGACTTACGTGGTTTCAAAGGACCAGAAGGACGAGTCAACAAGGAATTGGAGTCAGGGGAGGGACGAGCAGAATCCAAAGTGTTCTTTTGATTTATTTCACGGCGAACAAAGGCATACGATCCTTCCAGGTCCAGCTTCGGTTCCTTCCGAAGGATTTCTCCTCGGAGGTTGTCAAAATCGTAGTCCAATCCACTGAGAAAAATGTGGACTCTGAGGCGAACCATGGCAGAATGAAGGTGGACAACTCCGTCGACGGTGGATGCCTGGGATGCCGTGCGGTGATCAATTTCTTGAAAAATTGCAAGAAGATCATTGTAATATGTGGCCAACGGGCGCCCGTGTTGCTTCATCGTGAACGATTTTTGATTCAGTTCGAAGAGCACCGTTTCGTCAGACCCGTCATAGTAGGTGCGCTTGCAAGCCTCCCATATCTCTGATGCTGCATCCAAACGGAGAAACCGAGGCATGAGGGAAGGACTCATGGAATCAATGAGCCAACTCTTAACCTTCTTGTTCTCCGTGACCCAAGTGTCGAAAGCAGGATCAATGGAGGGGGGTTTCGATTTGGTTCCGGTGAGGAAACCGATTTTGTTTCTGGCGCCGATCCTCATGTCCATCAGCTGGGACCATATGGGGTAGTTGGATTCATCTAGGATGATGGAAACAGGGAAGGACGATGAATCTTGATGGATGACTATGGGTGATGGGTTGGTGATGGGAGGGTTTCGTTCAGGGGATGAGGGATTTGATTCAGGTGTTTCCATTTGCAAAGAAGAAAAAAGTGGGTTTGATGAACAGTAATGGGCTTCGGAAAAAATACGAAAAGGAAAAAAATGAGACTTGTTCTCAAAAGTTATTTAGAACCAAGGCTCTGATACCATGTTACAAAACAGATACATAAGAATTCATTGTCATTGTATTTCTTTACCTCAATGAGGGTTCTTTTTATACAAGAGGTCAGTAAAACTAATTGCTAATTAGTAGGTAACTAATTCTTCTATTCTAATCTCTATAGAATCATTTACTGAATAATAGCCTAACAAACTACAAACAACCTAAGAATACATAATTTTAAATTCAAATATATTTCAACAATATTGATTTCCCTTATTATCCTCTTTCTCCATTTTTTAAAACTCACGTATAAGAAAAAGACATAAGCAAAATCTTCCCCTTCATTTCCTTTCTTCTTAATATTGATTCCGAAACACACCTTAAATGTATATTTTGTTAAACAACCTATGCAAATCCTGGATAAGAAAATTTGTTAACTTTTAAATTCTAAACCTGCTCTTTGGATTTAATAATAAGAAAAAATTTATTAACAAGTAACAACAACATGGGAAAAAATATTTTCCCTTACGAGGTATTAATTAAAAAAATATATTAAAAACTATTAAACGACCAACCTCTAAACCTACCCATGATACTGACTACTGAGACGACATTGGATGTGAATGATTCTTTGATTGTGCAGGATATTGCCATAGATTAGATTCTGGTTGAGTTAACTTAACTAGCAAGAGTGGCTTAAGAGAAGGGTATCCACAGGGATAGTATAACACTTTTAAATATGAAAGCATATAGCTAGTTACCAAATTAAATAGTCCAGAAAATGATAGTGGTTGTGATCTTTCCCCTCTTCAACGTTTTGTTACCCCGACAAAGCATAGTGGAGGGTCCCTATCTTCAAGAACCAAATACACCCTCTTATTTTTTCTACTACTTTTTGCTTTGTTTAAGTGTACTACCTCAAAAGAACTCAAATTTAAAATTATTTTACTCTCCCTTTCTCTATCTGGCTCTCGTGTGTGTCTATATATGTGTATATAAAAGGAGGTCCTTGTAACTCATGATCTCTTCGTCAAACACACATGCATAATCTCAATTGGTTTTTCTCAGCAGACAATAATCTAATTAGGAATGAGAAAAGAATCATACTAATTAATTATAACCAGCTTTCTTTTTATATTGGAATATTATTCTCTAGCTACACATCGGTGGATGATTTGGTGGGCAAAGCCCTCCAAAATGGACTCTCAATGACCAGACAAGTAGACCATGTATATTATTATTATTATTATTATAATTATTATTTGTAAAGAACCAATTAAATTCAAAAACTTAACTTGTTAGTTGAGGTTATATTAATGATTTTATATATTCTTAACACCCCTAACATGAAAGCTCATTGGACTTGAAGAGTGGATGATTTATCAAGTTCAGCCTACCTATGCTAAAAAATGGCGATGAGGACGTGACCTTGTGATCACTGAAGCTTTGATACCATGTAAAAAACTAATTCAATCAAAAAACTTAAACTGTTAGTTGAGGTTACGTCAATGATTTTATATATCTCCAATATTGTTAATATTATTATTATTAAAAGAAAAACTCCCAGCATCACTTTCTCATTTAATTTAGTGAATTTGCTACTTAATTAACTATAATCGATCCCTTGTATATCTTTGATGTAGAAGTCCTGTGTGTCACCTGCTCTAAAATTCATATGCATTTTAATTTTTTTTTTCCTCCTCGTAAATTATATGGGGTAAAGACGAGTGATTATGGGAAAAGGGGATTGTGCATTATAGATAAGCACTTTCGTTTGTTCCTTAATGAGTGGCATTCCATAATTACACTCCTAAAGTTGCAAATTGTGAAAAACTTTTATAGATTAGAATGATGTTACCTTCTGCATAATAATTGAATCACTCTTTTACCGAAAATGCTTGGTACATATATGTATAATAAGGTTTAAATCTCTCACATTATTAACAGATGTGTATATAATAAGGTGATTATAATCGAATAAAAAATATATATATAAATGTAATTAAGACAATGTGTATATAAACGTGTGTATGTAGCATCATTATTCTTTTTCTCTAGCATATTAGAATTTTGACTTCGTCGGAAGGGAACATACAATAAATAAATATGCTTGAGCAACGACGTCACTGCCATAAATTAATAGCATGCATAAAACTCATTAAACTTCAGTAATATATAACACGCCGCATATACTCAGCCGTCTTAATTTGGTTTCACATTTAGCACAGCTTTAAGGTGTACTTTGTATAATAGAAGATTATAAAACACAATAGTAGATCAAGTAGAATTGTTATTCTAGTAGCGACTCAGTCCCAAAATTTGACCTATTCAAAGGATAGTAAGTTCACCAAATGCTGGTAACTCAGTTGGTGCATGAGAGCTGAGCAGGTAGTAGGCAGGTAGAGTGAGAGCATGTGTTCGATTGTTCCCAGTACCATCTTTGAAAGGGGTTCAAAGTCTTAATCCTGGACCTGTCCCGAACAAGATTGCCTCTCGTGGAGGATACCTATAAGGTTTATCCAAAAAAAAAGGGATAGTAGGTTCAATTCATGAGAGTCATAATTCTTAGGAAAGGTGAAGAGATTCAAACTGAAAATCAAATTAATCGGTCCATTAAGACTTCACACACCGGTTGATATGTGAAAAAAAAAAAAAAAAAAACTCACACAATAATAGTCTAGCAAACCATGACTATCCATAACCAGCAAATATATATCAAAAGTGTCACAGATTTTAAAAAGACTTACATAGCTAAGTCCTTAAATGAGGTTTACCATTTAGTAATGAAGCGGATAAATTTTCTCCATTCAAGAGATTACAAAAACTTGAACATGATATAACACCTAATCTCTGTTGCTATGAGAAGAAAATTCATCTACTTCATCACTTGAGGCAACCATCTTATTAATTAACCACAAAGCAAACTCGTCCAAATTAAACTGAAAGCTCATCACCATCCACCAAGTGCTCGGTAGCAAACCGCTCCCTATGTTCATGCCTAAGCAATTCTTGAGAATTTTTTGTTACTGAGCACAAGCGTAGTGACCAAACATTGCTACATGTTACTACTACTACTCTTTATTTATAGAACATGTTAGATCATGTATGAGTAACTTCATCTTCATCAGAGCCAGTAATGCATTCCTTCTCATCCTCAAAAGCTTCAAAAGAAGGATCATGTGGGTTATGACCCTTTCCAAAGGATCTAATATGATCTTTAAGAGATCTTTTGTGCTTAAAATCTGAACCACAAGTGCAATACCACAACTTGCCACAGTTCTTCTCATGAGTCCTCCAATCCCCTTTAACTGCAAATGTTTTCCCACATTTTCTACACATAAATGGTTTTGTCCCATGCTTTCTTTTGTAATGAGTTTGGAGAGTTCTAAAGTCCTTCAAGGGCTTAGCTCTTGGATGATTGATGTTGTTCTTGCAACCCTGTGCACAGCAATAACATGGTAGCCTTAGCATTGCAGCTGGTTGTGTTCCTCTTAGTGAGTCTGGTCCTTTCCTAAATTCGGATCCATGCCCCCACATATGCATCTGCAAATGAAAAAAAGTTGGTACTAATTTGAGTTATTAAAGTACATATGTTCCTTATCTAAACCAGAGCTCGAATCAGATTAGTTGAATAATCGATGAATTATTGAAAATAAAAAAAATAAAATAAAAAATAGATGTTCATTTCTAATTGATCTTGAACTTTTTTGAAATTAGGCCATAAAAAACAATCCTCAAGCCTGCTCTATTTGACCTAGCAATATCTTCCTTTATATGACCTAGCCGTGGCTATATTACAAACAATTGTTGGTCTTTATTGATGGGGTCTAACAAATCAAATTCTTGTCAAAAAGCAACTGCTAGGCCCAGTAATGGTTAAATGTATCTCTCTCTAGGTATCCACCTATTTAAAAACTGAAATTCTCTGAATATACAATAGGATTATAAGGAGAATCCTAAGTTTTGAATACTTCTCTTTATATCAGCTTTGGCCTAGTAGTTATGTATCCTAATCTTACCTACTGTGACATATTATGCCCCCTCTAACCAACATATATCAAATTTAAAAAAGAAAAAGATAAAAGAATAGTTCTTCTCTCTATAAACAGCTCCAAAAGTATTCTCTCGGAGTCTTAAAGTGATGAAGAAAGTAAAAGAAAAAAGATGGTCATCAAATAGTCATGGATACATTCTTGGTAAAGTTGAATTATATGATTGTTTTCTTCTTGATGGTTATCCATCGTCATGGTCATTAATACTCATTTTCATGTACTGTAAAGCATTTACTCAATTTGGCGGGGACAAAATGGATGGAATTTAAATTCAGGGTATAGGTATCCACACAAGCTAGTACAAATTCTATGCCTTTGGACGGACAAATTCATCATCAAGTACAGAAAGTATGGTGGGTCAAATCATCATCATATATAGAGATTATACTAAACAAACAAAAGGAGCAGTTAAGGAAAATAAGACAACATCAATTGAATCCTGTTCATAATGGTTTCGATGGAATGCATATTTGGAAAGAAATAAAAATTTGAAGTGATCGTGAGATTAAGAACAAATTGAAGATCTTAGCCAACCAAAATGAACCAAAGTAACATGATGGTTGCCAGAATTATAGGATAGAATTCCTTAATCTTAGAAAAATGTTCGCTAACGATAATTATCCCCCGATATATATAACTGTCAATTATTATTATTATTATTATTATTATTATTATTATTATTATTATTATAATATAACTCAATTTTTACTACCTTCCGAAGGACGAAAAAATTATTAATAATTTTTTTTTTGAAATAAAATTCAAGCCATATTTTAAGGTCAAATCCGTATAAACTAGCTTTGTCGTAAGTGGTGCCAAATGGAATCTGATTTTCTAGAGTTAAAAGGAAGATGTAGTAAGAAATCAAATAGTGTAAATTTATATAATTATATTTAAGTTTTGAGATATGATACTTTTTTTCATGTCTACTCATCTTCAATATCATTGAATCAGAATGTTAAGAGAAGAGAAAAAATAATAAAAGTTAGTTGAGATTCTGATTTAAGGGTGTCGGATAACATGGGTATGAAAAAAAGATAGGTAAAATATATTATCCTTAAATTTTTATTTTGTCATAAAATAAAATATTTTCTTTGAGGGACTACATGATATAGTACTTAGCTTATATTCCTCCTCCTCGTACTAAATATTAACTCCTCATTTCTTAAAAAGAAAAATCGTATAAACCAATGTGTATGTTCAGTTTTAATTAAATCAATTAGAACTAATGATTATGCTCTCATGAAAGAGAAGGTAGATCAGGCACACGAGCAATCTATCTTCCTTAGCCTTACGGTGGTTATCTGTTCTGTATGTTAACAGTATCACAAGCCTTTTGCTTCAAACGTGTGTGTCTATATATATATATTTTGATCATTGTTACAAAATTCCTTTAAAAATATAATTATTAGAACCTTAATTATTTCTCACTTGAAACTCTCTCCTTTTCTTTCTAAAGCTTGATCCTGGCCCTTAATTCTTATTCATATAGTTTTCCACTTTTTTTTATTTATAAACAAGTTATGATCATTTGTGAGCAAATAGTTTAACAAAAAATCTAGAGTTTTTATATATACTATATGAGAAGATGAGAACGAACTAACCTGCATGTTGTTATACCTATTGAAGGTCTTGCTGCAAATGGAGCAAGCAAACTGCATAGGCCCAACAAGAATCTGAGCAGGAGTTGGTATCCAAAACCTTCTCTCTGTGTTAAAAGAGCAACCATGGAAGGTTTTCTTCAAGGGCTCTTCTTCCTTAACATGGAAAACCTTCTTATCATCATCACCAGCTTCAGGATCTACTGTAGTAGTAGTGTCAGGCAATCCAATGTGCAAAGCTACAGTTACTTGTTCAACCTTTTCTTTTTTCACCTCAAAACTCTCCATTTGTACTTCATGTTCTTCCTCTTTTGAAGACTTTGAACCACTTAAAATAGGAAAAAATTGGATAGTCTTCTCATGGTTCTGATTATAAGAAGAAGAAGAAGAAGAAGAAGAAGGGGATGATAATACAGATGAAGTTAGATATGAAGGAGAGGAATATGGTTTGAGCCACTCAATGAAAGTTGGGGCATGAAGGTAGAGATTCTTGTCCTCTACATTATTAAACTCCATCAAACTCATATTCTTCAGAGGGAGAGTGTCCCTGGATTAGTGAAATTCTCTCCACAGAAAGGGTTATATCCACACTTTATATGAAAGAAAGCCTTCTTCACTTATATGGTTCATTAATGAAAGGAGACTCTCTTTGTCTTTGTCTTTATGGAGCTTTTCTTTTTCCTTTTTTTTTATATTTTTATTTTAACCTTTACTTTCTCTTTTTTCCTCGGTTGGACCTTTGTTTGTTTCTTTTATGGAGAGAAAAAGAGACTAATTGGAGGGGATAGAAAATGACATGCAAAACAGGACACACCAATTTAATAGAAAGAATCCTAGATTATTTGTCTGATCCCTGAATTCTAATCCAATACCAGTCATCAATTTAGTAAAGTTTTCACACTGGTCATCAATTTAGTAAAGTTTCACACTGGTCATCAATTTATAATGAGGTCATGTAAAATTATATATAATTTAAAAAGAGTTTGTTTTTTCTGCTGTCACGGTAAATAAGTTATAATTTTGGGACAGAAACTATGGTATTTTTGTAATTTTAATTTATTTCAAGGATATTATAGTCTTTATAATTATAATTTTTTAATCTTTCAATTTCAAGAATAAATGCAGATAATTTATCTGCAGTAACTGCATAAATATTTTTATGATTTAAAAATAAAGAGTATAATTAATTATTACAATACATGTATATTCAAATAATTTATTTGTATAAACTGGAACTCGAACAGTGATTTGGCATAATGGGAAGCATATTGTGTTGATCTTTTTTTCTTTTTTCTTTTCTTTCTTTTTAACGCTCTCTATATCATGGAATGTGACCCGTATGCACATAGTTTCTCAAACATTGACCTTAAGCAAGTGATCTCAAATAAAAAGACGAAAGCTAGCAAAGACGGCATATTTTGGTCAATACCTAAACGGAGAAAATATTATAAATGACGAACAAAAGGCAACAAGGACCTAGACTTAGTGTTATCTAGTGTTTATAATATGTGCACCACATTGCTTAACTTCCATAAGCCAATAATTTAAGGGGAGAAATTAAGCCTAATTGTTCGTTGATGATAACTGCTGCAACTTACGTTATTTCATTCCACAAAAATTAGTAAATAAATAAATATTTATATGGGGTAGGATCTTTTGATATTGGTGCACCACTAGGATTAGCCTAGTGGTGTTGGGTGTGAGTAGTGTGTATTAGGTTGCAAGTTCGATTCCTGTAATATTCAAAAAAAAATCTTTTGAAAAGTTTCACACCTCATCTGAAGGTCGTTAGATCAAAACAGATCAATAGTGTCATATGTTTACAAATCAGAGTCGTTAGATTAAGACATGATCAACGACTTTCAAATGAGGTATCAAACTTTCTCTTTGACATTAGTGTCAAAGGATCATGTCCCTATTTTTATATTTCAATATGCAAATCACTTAAAGGAAAACATTTCCTAATAATTTGTCAGTATATTTTTCTTTTTCATTCTTAATTTGTTCAATTAAGGATTTCCTACAATCACGTATAGCCTTCAAAGAAGAAATCATCAAAAAGCTTCTTTTCGATCTTATATTATTCAAGAGAAACGATTCTTCTTAAAAATGAATAGTATCATCTTTGAATCTTGGAACGAATGTGACTATATTTTTTTTTTATTCAAAGAAAACTATACGAACATGAGACTAGGACATTACAAGCGCTTGATGAACCATTACTAATGAATGAATAATAAATAAACCTTAATTATAATAACATTTAGACTAAATATATTTTTGGGTCCCTAACAAAAAACACGGTCCCCACTTTAGTTTCTTACAAAAAAAAAATTAATCTCGAGGTCCCTAAGAAATTCAAAGTGGACCCATTTAGTTGAAATCGTGGTCCTTCACAAATTTAAAAAAGACCCACATTAGTCCCTCAAAAGGACTAAAATGGGTACACTTCGAATTTCTCAGGAACCTCGAGACTAATTTTTTTATAAGAGACTAAAATGAGAATTATATTTTTTATTAGAGACCCAAAAGATATTTACTGTAACATTTAATGTTTTCATAGTTATAAAGTTTGACCTCTAGGTGATATGTGACATACATTCCCATGACCATGAGTTGCGTATGTCTGTGTGTATGAAGAAACAAGATATATATTCCTTTCTACAAAATTCAAATCTATAGCTATCAAGTAACGTACAGGAGCTAGGCCACGCCACTGGCTGCCAAATCGTGCAGTGTTGTGTATTTTGGAGCTAAGCAGAACAGATCAATGATTAGGTAAGTGGAGCCAATTAATTGTTGGTTTTTACCGACAAGATTTGTGAGGGCATCTTTGTAAGACAAACGCTCACACATGGATGCTTAGCTTTTTTTTTTTTTTTTTTTCTCTCTCTCTCTCTCTTCTAACTCCTCCTTTTTGTTTATGATGGAAGCATATCGTCAGTATGTGATTTTCTATCAAATATCACAAGTTCTCTTTTTTTCCCCCCCACTGTTTTCAACCTTTCAAACTTTTTGTACACTTTCATATTGTGAGATGTACACTTAGCCTCAATATAAAGTTCTTTTTTTTTTTTGGATCATTCCATGAATAATCCTCAATATTGTATCATTAGTCATGACCATTATTAATTCTCATTAATCAAAATATCACCCGTTCAATTGATTATTCAATTAATTTGGTTTGAATTATGTCAAATTCATATAGGGACGATATTGGATTTTGTGTTTAAATCTTATGGGTTATGAATAAGGAGTGAGTTGAGGAAGGAGAGAAAGAGAAAAAGGTGAAAGGTGAAAGGTGAAAGGGGTGTGTGGATAGAAGTCTTACATTGGACAAGTAATGATAAGTGAAAAGGTTTATAAACCTCCACAAGACCTCTTTAGTTCGGTCCGATTTGGTCCGGTCGCATGAGTAAGAAAAATAAAATAATTTTTTTATTAATTTTTTATCCAAAATGTCAATGTCCTATCTATTGCTTCCCTCCGTTTTGAACGCTTTGGTTCCTTCCTGCCATTTTGAACTAAGATGGTGAGTTCAGTTATTTTAACCAATTTGTTGTCGTCGGTCATAACAGTTTGCCAGCGGCGGTTCACCAGTTTGCCGACGGAGATTCATTATGTCTGATTGGAGTCTATATATAGTTATAGCCCGTTAGAAAATTTAATCCAAATTTTTCTAAGTTATTCCTATGCATTCAGACTCATAATGCATACTGCCATATGCTTAGAAAGTGTGATTCTCTTTGACATTTAGTTGTGTTCGTGAGCACTCCTGATTGATAGTATTGTAACACCCCGTATATATCTGGTATGTTATCATATCATCGTATTAAGCGGTGCTTAATTAAAATTGCGGAATATCTTTTTCTTTTCAATTATGACGTCATTAATCATTACCAACTTGATTACTTAATCATTTTTGAAACATCGTCTGTATGCCATTGCAATAAGACAGCTAACTGAAATACCTCATGATATAAAATAACATAATGTATGGCTCTAGTCACGGAACTACAACACGTAGACCGGACCAACTAATAGTTTATACAACTCGACTCAAAAGTACTACTAGCATTGTGGCATGGACAACTCTCATGCTCACCCAAATAAGGCAACAAAGCCCAACATAAGTCTCAACTCAAAACATAATGAGCAGAAAACATAAACAACATCCAATCCAGTCATGTCAGCAATACAACATAAATATCATAATCAACTAAGCTCTGGCCTCCTGCCGCCAGAGGCATCAGTCACCATACTACCTGAACCTGAAATAAGCATTCCCCAAACGTGGGGTGAGATCTCTAAACAAGAAATCTCAGTAAGGCAAGGGGTCCTCAAGGATCTTCCACCCCAAGCTCACTTACATGTGCAATATAAGTTTAACAGCAGTTTATCATCATCAGTTCTAAAATAGTGCAATGCAGCAGATAATCATGTCATGTGTGTCAATACTATTCTACTGATCAGAGAAATGGAGGAATACGTCTATTACCCACACAATATGCAAGACGCTACTTGCACCCACCCACGGGCTCACCATCTTGTATGACGCCACATACTCAGGCTTATCGACTAAGTGGAAACAACACATACATATTATAAGCCATTGCACATATCAGCTCAAAAGCATTTCAAAATATCCAAAGCATGTAACACAACATGCATATAACCATACCCCATGGAACATGGTGGAACCACAACATGGCTAAACCGATGACACGAAAGCTTACCTTGCAAGCTAACACCCAAAGCCAAGAGTCCACAGCTCAAAGTCCAAACACAGCAGATTCACAATCTGTTATGGACCAATAATACATCAACAATCATACTCTACAAGTATACAACATAAAGACAACGCATTTTCATTACGTTTTACGTCTTAAGGCTTCTCACCAAGTCATAAGCCCTTAATCATATGATTCTGACTTACATTAATTAATTACAGAAGTTCAACTTCCTCAAACTAGGGTCCACAAACCCATAGATCAGTTCTGGATGAACAGTACGCTACTGTTCCTCGTAAACCCAGAATATCCGGATATTCCACGGGGACATATCCAGATATCTCACAGGCAATATCCGGATATCACTCTGGCAATATCCGAATATCCATATCCGGATATTCCACGGCAAATATCCGAATATTTCGCGAAGATATCCTTCCAAGGTTCCATTTTTAACACTTCCAGAAGCTTAAACATGCATATTAAGGTTCATTGAGGTTCATATGGCAGTTGGTTACTTGTTTAATTCATTAAACATGCCAAGACTTCATCTTTAAGCAACAAAACTCAAGACCAAGGTTGGTACAACTTACCACAGTTAAAACTCAGTAAAATGGGTGCTCTTGGAGCTCACACAACAACTCCAAGGTTCTGACTTTAACACCAAACGAAAAAAGCCACTCAAGCTTGGTTCTTTCTTCACAAAGGTTGACACTTTGAAGCCCACAAGCCAAGAAGAAAGCTCCAACACTACAAATCACCAACTCAGCCCCTTCACAACCACAACACAGCCCCCAACACTCAAAAACAAGGCCACCAACACCCTCCCAATGCTCACTCTCACTCACCCCAAGGTGTTT